CACTATCCAGAGGAATGGAGTTCAATCATGTGAACATCACAATTGATCTTGAGCAGGTCGGATTTCCTTATAATGCCTTAGAACTGAGTACCGGAAACCGAAATACTTGAAATTTCCACAAAAAATTTTTTCGCAAATATCACTTAAGGGCAAATTCAGGAATTCCACGTCGCCTACGTGTGGATCCAAATGGCGAACAGTCCAAAACCAGGCACATGGATTCTGGAAAGATCAACTGATCATGGAAAGACCTTCCAGCCGTGGTATTTCTTCGCTGAGACACCCGCGGAATGCATGAGGGTAAGCATCTAAGGCAGCGTTCAGACTTCGCGATGGCAGCGCTTCAGCAGCGCGTTCGACGCGATCGATGCAGTCGAAAGCATGCGCATCGATCGCGTCGAACGCCAAATAGCGCTTCACCTCATTTGATATTTTTAGCAATTCGGAATGGAGTCACTGTCTCCTATTTCGGAAGACGATCGAGTAGTCTGCCGATCGGACTTGGCTGGAATCCACCCGCTGGAAAACGCTGAGGTCTGACCTTTTTATGCTTCTTGATAGGAATATACAACGATTTCCTACCGTACTCTCCTATCATAATCAGTCTCGGCGCCTTTATTAGTCTCCCTTTTCAGATGGTGATCAAAATCCTTGAGCATCGCCCAAGTCGTTTCAAGTTCTCGTCATCAGAAGCACTTCAGAATTTCACCAGGGCTACTAATGTACGTATACGTCTTCTGGGAACGCGAAACCTTCAAGGACATCTTATGCATTTGAACGATAGAACTGATCCGACGGTTACCAGACGGGTAGGTGAACCGATACAATTGGCATGTTTATAGATGGAATACTTATAACTGGCAAAGATAAAACCATTCGGCCCGGTGTCAGGAGGGGCGAGCCCGCCTCCGGCTACCTTCCTCCACCAACAAAGATTCGTTATTGACTGATTTAGGAAGAAAACCACTAGCGGGAAAAACTCCGCTAATCGGCCCATTCAATCGCTCTTGACACCGCCCCAACTAATTGCGGCGGTATGAACTTTATAGAGCCCACCCAGAATGTTTTGCTCTCAGTATTAAAGTGGCTCGTTCACCAAAAAACAGATCAAAGACACGCTGATCGTATGGGCGGAGCTAAGCCCTCCATCAGGGTACATTCCTTCTTGATGCGCTCTCTTTTTCTAGCAATAACACTATAGAGTAAAGCGCCAACTGCGGAGATCATCTTTGTCCATACGATCGGTGTAATCGTTGTTTTCAGGGATACCTAGGAGCTTTATAGTTGTAATTTTGGTGAAGATAAAGCCTTTTTTACTTTAGTAAGAAAAGGTGGCACTCATGACGTGCGACGCGGGTTGCCTTGTCTGCTAGCAGCTAGCGTTTCTCAGAGGACGGTAGTTAACACAGCGTAACGAGTCCGCGCACGCGGGAACACCCTTTTTCTGTTTCTGCACAGATACGATAGCGAAAAAAAGGATTAAGCTAAGGTCATGCACTTCCAGTAGTTTCGCGAGTCTTTTTGATCAACTATGCCTAAGAACGAGTACTCCAAAAGATAGAATTAGTTTGTTGAGTTTGTTGACCGGAAAGGATGATAAGCAATATCGCGAGACGGCACGCTACCACCACGTTTGTATTGCATAAATTTTTAAAATTTCAGAGGCTGAGGAAAGAACAGAGGGCTTTGGGGCGTAATAACGAAGGCAGAGAGGTTCTGCCTAAGATATGACTGCAAAATAAAAAGAAACCGATTTGTATGAGCATTACAGTATGAAGGAGCATCTGTGTGGAAGTAGCATGAAATAGTCAAATATTTTTCAGTATTTCTACTCGATCAAAGAAATCCTGATGGGTGGTCGTTGTGTATGCAACGGTCACGCAGGTACCTGCGACATTTTGGACCCACGAAGACCACGAACCCTGCTCTGCAGGTACAGCCATCTTCATTTTTGTTTGATTAGTACTGCAATATTGAAAAGGATGAAGCAATATTCAAATATTCAGATGCGAGCACAACACCTGTGGTGATATGTGTGAACGTTGTTGTCCAGGATTCTTACAGAAGAAATGGCAGCCGACCACCGCACACAACAACTTCACCTGCGAACGTGAGTTCAATTCGTCTGGACTAGCTTTTCCCTGAATCGCGTTACCTTTTTACTCGAGGGAGGTATCACATCTTTACGAGTGAAATAGCGGTGTAAACACGGCCTCCCGAAATTTCCCCTTCCACTAGGACCCCCTCTCCTGCACCATGTTTGCACCCGATGGGATTCTTCTGACAATTGCTTCAACCGGTTGGGAGGGAGTGAATAGAAGGAACCAGGGCACGTCCTGCCGTTGCGTATAATTCTTGTGAAATGCGAACACCCCTCAGAACATCCTCCTCTGGGGGGGGACTCCCACCCATTGATTAAATACGACCCTCCCTATGGGGGACCTCCAACGTCCAATGCGCTCTGGGAGGAACCCCATGCTTATGACGTGCGCCAGCGTAGATTGCGATGAAAAGTGTTACGAGGTACATGGGCAATTCGAGATAACTATACTGGAAAGGTGGAAAGGTTCCTCAATATGTAGTAGTAATCCTTCCACCCTTCCCTCACAGGGACGAGAAGGTGAAGATAACCGTCATTGAGTTTGTGCAAAAGGAGGGGTACAGTACTAAGGTCAACCTGAAGTAGCTGAGCAGCTGCTGGATTAGTCGTCGGTAGGTCGCCTGAAATCGTCGCTGTAGTCTTACGAGACCTCTCACGTTCTGCCAGCCGAACAACATTGTCACTTTTTCCAACCTTCCCCTTGGGCAGATGAATTTATTGATGGGCACTCTTTGAGTCACAAAATGAAGGGATAACTAAGCGCTTCTTAGCTTTCGTAACAGGGATCCCTTTTCACTGATTCGTGATTTAGCTTGCAACTGCTTTGGGCGTTCCGACGAATGTGTCTATGACGAGGATGTTTTCGTCAACAGTCTCTCACTTGACATTCATGGAAACTACGAAGGAGGCGGTCGTTGCTTGAACTGTAGAGTGAGTTTTTCAAAATCTGTCCTTCAAAATCATTAGAATTCGCTTATGCCTCCTAGTCTTCTTTTGCTGTCTGAGAGCTGCAGAGTCAATCAATAAATCCCAGAAAAATTTATGGTTCTTTCCACTGTTCCTTTTGGTGCGTCACAAATTACTCTAAAAATTATTCCACTCCCTGAAGTGTCAGAGCTTTTTGAAGAGGTGAATCGAAAGCCGAGATATGAATTTCTCCGAGGTTACTTCGAGCTTATGCTGACTGTAACTCGCATTTCAGGCTCGGTTTTTAGGATGGTGTACTGGGTGAGGTCATCCCCCAGTAAGAACCTGCGTAATTTAAAGAAGATGCGAGTTTCCCCGTCGTCCTCTACAGCACTTCTCATACTCCTTTATCTATCATGGCTATGGGCCGCCACCCGGTTTACTAGAGCTGGTATCAACCAGTCATAATGGTGACAGGAGGCGTGGAATGAGCTGATTCCCAGCTGCGTTTTCTACCAATAGTGATCTGTTCATGAAGAAACTCACTATGGTAGAAAACATCCCCGTCATTTCACGCCTACTATCATCGTTTTGATATGAGGCGCGACATAAGCTGCACCATGAATTCAAGGAGGCCAAGCTGTCTCCAGCATCATTGCAAGACTTCTTAGGCGCAGTTTGGCTCGAAGGGGGCATTTTGCCTGCTCCCATCGAACACCTCTGGATACCTGTAAATACTTGTAATGATATAGTTGTAATAGCTAGAGTTTTGCTCACACTTGAAATGAGTCTGCAGGCCCCATAAAGTGGTACGTGTAATTCAGCAGGAGCTGGCAAGAAAAACAAGCGAAGGTGCAAATGCCCCCCCCCCCCGGAGTCTCACAGCGCCCTTATTGCGACGTGTTATGTTCCTGCTCGACAGAATAATCGAGAAAAAATAAAAGGAGAAATCATCAGAAATATTCTCGTATTTAGGATTTCACGGAAGGTGTCAACTGTAACAAGTGTGTGTTTGGCTACTATCGACAGGAGGGCGTTCAGTGGAATGACACAATGCCTTGCAAACGTTAGTTCATTTCGTTTGAAAGCCGAATGCTTCGGCGTGTCTGACGAGGTTGTCAGCAACCAGGTCAACCTCTGATGACGTCATCTGTGGTAGAAACTGAACCCAAGTTCTTTTCAGCATGCAGATGTGACCCAAGCAAACACACTGGTGACTGTGAGGAAGGTACTGGCAAGTGCTATTGTCAACCTCGGTTCCAAGGCGAGAACTGCGATCAATGCGCTCCGGGCTACTACGATCCGCCTGAGTGTAAAAAGTGCGAATGTACAGTAGGCGGTACCCTGGACGGAACTTGTCTGGTACGTTCGTAGACCTTAAGTTGATCTTTAAGAAGTCTAGCCCTGTAGAGGAGCTGTTCATCCTATCAGATTCATCGTTTGTTAGTCCAGCACGGTTTTTCAGCCTGAGAATGGTCAATGCCCTTGCAAACCTGGATTTGGCGGAACATTCTGTGAGACGTGTGAACCTGGCTTTACTAACGTCACAGCTGGTTGCAAAGGTATGAAATTCAATTTTTTTTCAGGACATATATACAAAAAGCAGATCTAATCTACAAAGCAGAAAGGCACTTTTGGATTTGGCCGATTTCCAGAGTCGATTAATAGATCTCCCGCCGTCCGCCCCCTCAAAGTTTACTAAATAAGGGTGTTGGAACGGCTAA